ATATATAATATTTTAATATACTGTACTAGTACCTTTTCTACTCACTGTACCTTACGTTTTGGGACTACATTTTTATACTACATTTTATACTATTTTTATATATATTATAATTATAACGTAACCGAGGAAGACCGTTGGTCCTGGGTCCAAAACCGATGAGCCTGATGCTCTACAATTTAGAGTCTAAATGAATATACACCTAATAATTTTCAGCCCGTTGTCTCACCCCTATCGATGATCCAGAGTGTATCATAAACCACGCCGGTAGCGTGTACTGATACTTGGCTTAATTCAAAGCAAAAGTACTCATTTATTCAATTAAAACTCGATTTCAACAAAATCTTCGAAAACTCATAAACATACTACGCAGACGTGACGATTATTTTTGGATTAGGAGAGATGGTGATTTGTGCCGGTGATTATGAAATTGGCCTAAGTCACGCGTATTCCGTTTCGAAGTATTAAAAGTTCCGTGCTTCGATTATGTTACAAATTAAAAAATTTGATTGCGACAAAGCTGTAAATGCAATTCGACGATTCAATTCTTCGCTATTTTGCCGAGAATAATTTTATTTTATTGTAATATAAAATGTTAATATAAAACGAGGGATAAAATCATTTTTTTTTTTTTCAAATTTTTCACTCAGACCACTTTTATAATTGTTGGCATATTTGTGAGGTTGAAAAATTAATTTTGCAGGTTAGATTAATGTAGGGTGTAATTTAAAAAAGCTCGAGACTTGTCGAATTTTGTATGTCTTATAACAGTGTTAGAGTGTTATTTTTTATATCAGAATTTTTTGCACAAAGTTAGCAATTTTTATTTTTTATATGGTGTAGTTTTATTTAATCTAGTTAGCACAACTGAAATTTTGAATCTAAGAACTATTTAGGGGTTCTAGAGAATCTTGGGTTTTAAATTTTACGTTATGAGTCTTGGGTTCTAAGTTTCGTGTTCTAAATTTTGAGTTACAACATTTGGATTCTAAGTCTTAGGGTTTAATTCTTGACTTCTAAGCCTTGGGTTTTAAGATTTAAGTTATGGGTCTTGAGGTCAAGTTTTGGGTTCTAGGTCTTGAATTTTAAGTTTTGAGTTATAAATTATGCATTATAAGTCTTGGGTTCTAAGTCTTGTATTCTAAATTTAGAGTTTTAAGCCTTGGGTTCTAAGTTTTAAGTTATAAGTTTTGCGTTATAAGTCTTGTATTCTAAATTTTGAGTTTTGAGCCTTGGGTTTTAAGTTTTGAGTTATAAGTTTTGCATTATAAGTCTTGGGTTTTATGCCTTGTATTCTGAATTTTAGTTTTAAGTCTTGGGTTCTAAGTTTTGAGTTATAAGTTGTGCATTATAAGTCTTAGGTTCTAAGTTTTGTATTCTAAATTTTGAGTTTTGAGCCTTGGGTTCTAAGTTTCGAGTTATAAGTTTTGCATTATAAGTCTTGGGTTCTATGTCTTGTATTCTGAATTTTAGTTTTAAGTCTTGGGTTCTAAGTTCTGAGTTATAAGTTTTGCGTTATAAGTCTTTGGTTCTAAGCCTAGTATTCTGAATTTTGAGTTTTACGTCTTGGGTTCTAAGTTTTGGCTTCTGAGCTTTGGATTTTAAGTTTTGCGTTATTAGTTTTGGGTTCTAAGTTTTGTGTTGTGAACTTTGAGTTTTAAATCTTGGGTTTTAAGATTTCAGTTATAAGTATTTGGTCCTAAGTCTTGAGTTCTAAGTTATGGGTTAGAACCCACTTAGTACCCAAGATTAGTAACACAAAACTTATAAGTTATGAGTTATACGTTTTGTGTTATTAATCTTGGGTTCTAAGTTATGTATTACAAATCTTGAATTCTAAGTCTTGAATTCTAAAATTATCCCTAGGGACTGACAGTGAACTTTCCGTTCAGACGGCGTCAGTCCCTAGGGACTGACAGTAGACTTTTCGTTTGGACGGTGTGGATTCTAGGGACTGACAGCGAATTTTTCGTTTGATCATCATCGGTGCGTAAGACTGGCATTGTCAAGGGTTAAATTATCAATGACAATTAATATATTGTAAAAATTTAATTCCCTCTGCTAAAGTAAATCTTTACACTTCCGTGGCTTTTTTCGACTGATCGTTTCTTGGTGATCGCCTTTTTGCCTTTCTGGCATTCCCAGTCATTTATATAACACACTGTTCATGTATACTTATCACGTTTCCGCAATTTCGGCTACTTCTTGTGTCTCACTGACAGTATACCGATGTTTTGTAATTTTTGTTCTATACAAAGTGCTTGACGATCAAATCGCGTTCTTTAATTCAATCGATATCTTCAAAATCACATCATATACGCACATATGTAAAGATGTGGGATGAGGAGGAAATAGAGAAAGGGTACATACAGGCTAAAGAACGAGGTTTCCAATTTAATAAGGATAAAGTATATTTGAAATATAAACTATTGCTCGACACACAGTTTAAGACCAGTCTAATTTTACAATTCTAACACAACGCTATTACTCTGACACTGACTCTCACGTTCTAAACTCTAACTCTTGTCACATTCTCCACACTCTTCACAGACTGTCTCGTCCACACCCTTGCACCCTTCTTTTAACCCTTTGCGTACGGGACGGTTCAAAGTTACCCGTACCATGGAGTCAAGTTGCTGCTATAATAGGCATTTCAAATTGGCAGTGTGCACATTTCTGTTTAGTCGCTATTTTCGTTGATAACACTCCAAGATGTCAAATTCTGGACATACGTGACCATAGCGATGCGTTTACGTGAGACACCTACTATGTGGGATCGGATTTTTGGTGGACTGATTCAAGACAGTACTGTTGGA